ATATTTTTAATCAATTTTATATTTGCTCATGGCTAAATAAAATGACAAGCTATTGATGAAAATGAATAAATCTCATCCAACTGGATTTACTCTATTCCCTTAAGTGAATGTGACAACTTATAATAATTTTGGGCATGAACAAAAATATAGTCATAGCCATGAACGTAATCGAAATAATTATCATTATAATTGTGATGACTATAATATTACATCTCACCACCGTAAATGGATAAAAGGAATAAAAATAGATAAAGTCGGTATTCTAAATAATAAATATTATAGATATGGAATGAATGAATATTGATCGTGTACCTACCGTACACCAAAGTACCTCTTTGAGCTTTATTAAGCCTTATTGAAAAATAAAGAGTAAAATATGAATGCAACTTTTATATATCAAAATAATAGTAATTGAAATTAATTACTTGTTAGTTTTTCTATTTATAAATAAAATGTTTTATATTTCTTATAATTTATATCGCATAGTAATGGTTACAAATTTATTTTACTATTTTTTTTTTGTTTATGAGGAATATATTTATTTATTTTGTATTGATTTATTTGATTATTTATTTTATGTTAATATTATATATGATGATATCAATCTAATAAAAAGCTCTAGAAGAGCGACTATATTATTATCTAAAAAAATAAATTTTGAAGGCTCTAGAAGACCGATTATATTATGATCCGAAAAGCAAATTTTTGAAGCTCTAGAAGAGTGGATATATTATTACTTAAAGAGATAACTTTTAAAGGTTCTAGAAGAGTCGATATATTATTACTTGAAGTGACATAATTTAAAGGCTCCGGAAGAGCAATTATATTATTATCCTGCTAAATTTATTATAAATGATATACTATTCTCTTCAAAGTCTCATAGAATTTTATTGAGTTTCAAAGATATTCATCTAAATTGATATCATATTAAGATAGCAAATGTGAACACTTATATATTATAATCATTATATAGGGTAACAAATATGTATTGAAAAATTTATCCGCTTTCTCTTCTAGTCTTTATTACAAATATTGTAATGATTGAAACAAATGTTATAGTAAATCGAAGTTTACTAATTCAAATACTTTTATTACGTGACATGACCAGTTCCGTCATCTTAGGTCTTTCATGATACAAAAAATTGTTAAAAATTCATATGGACATCTATTGAAGAGCCGAAGATTCTTCAATTTAATGAATTTTCATATCCCGCATGTTGCAAGGCAAATTGATGATTAAGCCATCAACAAGTAAAATTGAGATTGAATCTCCAATATTTTTAGAATGTATTCAAGGTGATATATTTGGATCAATTTATCCACCATGTTGACTCGTTTAAATATTTTATGATTTTAATAAATGCATCTACAAGATGGTCACATATATGGATATTATCTACTTGAAATCCGACATTTTAGAAATTGCTAGTAAATAATTTGATTTCGAACATAATTTTTAGATTACGTTATTAAAATAAGTCACCTTGATAATACTAGTGAATTTATTTCTCAAGCATTAAATTATTATTGATTGGCTATTAGAATGAAGGTTGAACATCTTATTGCTCATGTTCATACTTAGAAAAATTTAGCAAAATTATTTATAAAAAGGCTCCAATTGATAGCTAAACCTTTATTTAAAAATAAAACTCTCTCGTTTATGTTTAGGGATATGCAATCTTACATCCAAGTAACACTTATTCGCATCGGACCCATAAGTTATCGAAATTCTCTCCTCTTCAATTGATTTATGGTCATGAGCCAAATATTTCTTATTTAAGAAATTTTGACATTGCAGATGTATATCCATAATGTCGTTCCATAATAAAATAAAATGACGTTTAAAGGAGATTAGGAACATATGTTGGATTTGAATCTTCTTCGATAATTCAATATCTTGATTTATAAATAAGAGATATTTTTATAACTCAATTTATCGATCGTCATTTTGATGAAATAGTTTTTCCAACATTAAGAGGAAAGAATAAGCAATATAAATAGTTAGAAATGTTGAAAAAAATGATTACATGGAGTACTCTATCTTTATATCATATTAAATCTCGTAGAAAATAATATGAACTAGAAGTTCAAAAGATAATTTATTTACAAGGTATTACAAACCAACTCGCTAGATGCATTCTCAATTCCTAAATGAGCAACTAAAATGCATGTCCCCACTAAGAATGCTTTTATTAGAATTGATGTCCTAGAAGGACAATTTATTAATCTTATAGCTAGTGAGTCTAAAGTGCGTTTGGAGCGTGAAAGACCGATCGATTTTAAAAATAAAAATCTCTAAAAGAAAGGGATAAGATGAAAATATAAAAGATGTAAACATTCACAAAACAATCCAAGATAAATATGATAATAGGCTTCTAGAAGAAGTTCAAATACTTGAGAAAAATTAAGAGACTTTGATAAATTATGTCAATATAGGGAGAAAATAAGGTTCGAAAAGAAGCATTTTTTGTATATAATTTTTCAATTGATATCTTGAATGAAAATAAGGATCCTAAGCCTAAATTATTAAAAAATATTGACATAAAGATGATTGGCCTAAATGAAAAGAGCATTCCAAGTAGAATTATATTCTCTTACAAAAGAGTAGTTTTTTGAACCCATAGCCAAAACACTCGAAGATGTTAAGCTAGTGCGATACAAATGTGTATTTATGCGAACACGAAATAAAGAAGATGAGATTGTAAGATACAAAGAAAAACTTTTAACATAAGAGTGTTTGTAAAGAACTGATAATGACTATGATGAAACATATTCTCCTATAATAGATGTAATTATATTTTGTTATCTCATTAGCATGGAAAAATATATGAAAAATATTCATATGCATGCATTTAATGAATGTGATCATAATTTATTTATTCATTTGAAATGATATCGGCATGAAAATCCTAGAAGGACTTAACATGCTAGAAGCATGTAATACATATTCTCGAGATAATAATTCAATTAAATTATAGAGATCTCTATTAAGATTATTTTAATATTTTTTATTATTTTATTTTTTAAAAATTTAATTTATATATTTTTTTATATTTTATCTTTATATCTACCGTTTATTACTAACCTCGTGTGAATGTGATATAATTACTTCAATGATTATTTATTGAAAGAAAGTTATATATATATATATATATATATAACCTATGTGCTCGTATATTTTTATTTGAAAAGGGCTTTGTTGTATATGTTGATGACTTAAATATTATTAGAACTCTCGAAGAGATTCCAAGTGTCATAAGTTATCCGAAAAAGAATTTGATGTGAATACCTTGGAAAAACAAAATGTTATTTCGACTTACAGACTCGAGTACTTAGAGAATGAGATTTTTATTCATCGATCAATTTATATAAAAAAGATTTTTATTCATCGATCAATTTATATAAAAACAAAAAGTTCTACAATGATTTTATATAAAGATCATTCATTGACTAACCCAATAATAGTTCATTCACTTGATATCCAAAAATACCCTTTTCGATATTGAGAAGATAACGAAGAACTACTTAGTCTTGAAGTACTATATCTTAGTACCACTAGTGCATTGATATATCTTACTAATAATACTCAACACGATATCATCTTTTCTATAAATTTATTAGTAAGTCATAGTTTTGATTCAATACGGAGACATTGAAATAAAGTTAAACATATACTACATTATCTTTGAGGAACAATTGATATGAGCTTATATTGTTCTAATAAATCAAAGACATAATTAATCGGTTATGTAGATGCGAGTTAATTATCCGATTCACATAAAGCTCAATCATAATTAGTTATATATTTACATATGGAGATGCAGCTATATCTTGACGTTCAATGAAGCAAACTATAGGTGTCACATTTTCAAATTATGTAGAAATATCAATTCATGAGACAAGTTGAGAATGTGTTTGGTTAAGATCAACGATTCATCATATTCGAGAGACATGCAGTTTATCTATCAAGAAAAGAAGTTCTAACAATATTATATGAGGATAATGCTCGCTTGCATAATTCTATTGAAGGAAGAATACATCAAAGGGACAATCTAGCAGATTTATTTCTTAAAGTATTACCTATCACAACTTTTTAGAATATGATTAACAAGATTGAAATATATCATCTTAGAGATCTTAAATGATGTTTTCAACGAGGAGGAGGCCAACATTGAAATTAATGTGTACAAGGAATATTGTATTCTTTTTCCTTCACTAAGATTTTTTTTCACTAGGTTTTTTCAAGTAAGGTTTTAACGAGGTATATTCCTCGTACAATGAATATTCAAAGGGAGTGTTATGAAATAATGAATGTCTATCATCATGTTCATCTACTTTTTATATCCCCACTACTCATGATTTTTAATATGATTCAATTCATCATTCAATATGAGAAATTGAAAGGGTGATTCAATTGATTATTCATAGTCATTTTCAATTCTCTTATCAAATTTGAAGATTATAAATAGAGCTTTATTATTCATTAGTTAGGATACAAGTTTTCGGAGAGAATAAAAAAACTTTGAACTTTTTATTATTTATATTTACATTATAGTGATTTTATTTTCTTGTCATTTTTTTCTTCAATTCTCATATTATTTTTATTTATTTTATAATAGATACAAATTTGTCTTATTATTTATTTATTTATTTGGATTTGGAATAATGGGGTTAATTTGACATCCGCAGGAAACAACAAATGGAAAGCAAATCCGGTGGGCGCCCATTAAATTAATTGTCTTAAACGAGAGAGAGAGAGAGAGAGAGAGAGAGAGAGATCTAAACAATTACCCCTCCAGCCGCAATAAAATTGCTTAAAAACCAGCTACAGGTCGTCATGTTGAATTCAATTTCTTTAGAGAGAGAGAGAGAGAAAAAAGAGAAAAAACCTTTCCTTCAATTTTCTTTTTTCATTCGTTGTCTTTTCTAGTAAACCCCAGCCCATTTCCTGAATAAAAAGGGTTTGGTTTACATTTGTTAGGGAAAAAAAATCTTGTGAAATGGAATCTCGATATTTTGTGGCGCTTTTTCTAGGATTTATGCTTCTTAATTTCCCTCGTTTTTCCTATTCTTCCATTCGATTGCTTCCTGACAAGAAAATGTATTTCTCTTTCGCTCTCTTGTATTATTCCCCTATGTTTGTTTTTTTTGTTTTGTGGTGTAACTTATTTGATTTATGTTTTTCTTTTTCTTGTCATAATGCTTTAGATTACATAAGAAAGGTGTGTTTGATCCAACTCGGGTCACGCAACTCTCTTGGCATCCCAGGTATTTTTTTCTTTCTTATATTATTATTTGACTGTATTTTTTATTAGTAAATCTGGTTTTTTCCCCTTTAAATTATTGGTGTGGCTTCTTAACTTAACAGGGCTTTCGTCTACAAGGGATTTTTATCAAACGAGGAGTGTGATCATCTTATTAATCTGGTTCGAATTTTAATTACTTGATTACCTAATTAATTGAGTTTACATAGTAATTTAATTATTTGTAGTTATTTATTGTTTGTGGAGTAGGCTAGAGATAAGCTTGAGAAATCAATGGTGGCTGATAATGAATCTGGGAAGAGTATAGAGAGCGAAGTGAGAACCAGCTCTGGCATGTTTATTGGTAAAGCTCAGGTCTGTCTTGAATTTTTGGACCATACACTGTATCACATTATGTTTCTTGGTTTGTTATGACTATGAAATTGATGCTTTGATATTATCATATTAGTGTATGTTATGTAATCTAATGTTTATAAAAACCATGTTTTTTTCCCCTTATCTCAAATAAGGGTTTGCGAATGTGATTGTTTATCCCAATAAATCAAGGAATGTGATTTTGTTTTGCAGAATGTATCCAGTTTATAAAGTAGGATTGAATTAACAATGCATGTATTCAGTAGGATTGGCTGAACATGGACTTGAAACTAACTAGTGAAATTTTGCACGACTTAAATAGTGTACGTAGATTAAATTTACTATTTCATTTATACATTTATTCTCAACATGCGTTGGGAAACCTAGACATCAGGGCCCTTTTGCCTGCCATTTAATATGATACAATTGTATTGAACTTGGAAAGTGTTGTCGGTTGTTAACTCTGTTCCAACTGAACTTCAAGGTTTTGCTTGAGGTATGCTTTGTCTTAATTTTCTCTTGTTAACTTGTTTAGCTCTTATTGCTTGCTGGCTATATGTAATTTAATTTTGCTTTTACATATAATATTTTTATCAATAGGGAGAAATCAATAATGTTTGTATATAATGTGGAACACTCCATTGATTTTCTCATGAAAATGGAAGTTTTATTTCTCCTCTGTGGGGTGCAGTGAAAGTCTTGCATATAACAGTGTTTTGGGAATTAGGAGTTGAGGGTATCTTGAATAGGATTGTTGAGGACATTACAACATGCGTCGAGGATAGGATTTGTTTAATATTTTTTTGTTACCAACTCGTACCAAACTATCTCCTTGGAATCTACAGGGTTGAGTTCCCGCCTTTTTCCTGCTAAGTCTGAAATCCACAGCTGTCTACCATGAAAAATGCTGTGTGAAGGTGAAACATTATCTGATGATGGGGAATGGAAGGACTTCAAGTTCTAGAAGTTTTAGCATATTTTTTCAGTTCCTTGAAATCACCAATGCAATCTTGAAAATGCATTTAGTCTAGTAATCCAACATAGATCTGTAAGCATTACTGTTTTCAGTCCACGAAACCTAATCTCAATGCAAAGCTTTAAGTCAGAATTAAACATTGCAATAGGCCATTTGTTGGCTCCATTACCGAAGATCATTCAGAAAAGTTCTTCCCTTCTCTGCTTCTCATTGAAATGGTTGACCAAAATTAATTGATAGTGACTTTCAAATATATTTGAACCATGCTGATAACTTTTTGCAATTCTTAGTAAAAGTTGTTTGCTGCCTTGGCTGAATTGTGGAGCTTATTAGTCTGTCACTTTTTGGCACTGAGGCAAATTTAGATAAAACTTGAATTTTCCATAACAAGGCTGCCGTATTTTTTAAAGTTTATGTTGGATGGTGTTCTGGATGATTATAACATACTACTGCAACAAATCTACTCATTGTTTAGAGATTCTATCTTTTTATACCGATTGGCATCTTTTTAGTTTCTGGAATTTGTTAGGCTTAAATGCTGTTGTTTCACTCGTCATTGAAGGATGAAATTGTTGCTGATATTGAGGCCAGAATTGCTGCCTGGACTTTTCTTCCTGAAGGTATATCCTTTACATGCTTCTTGGTTTATGACATTTTAGTAAATGCAGAAAGAATTTTATCTTTCTTGTACATGCTTTTGGTAATCAGAAAATGGGGAGTCCATTCAAATACTACACTATGAGCATGGCCAGAAGTATGAACCACACTATGATTATTTTCATGACAAGGCTAATCAAGAGCTGGGTGGTCACCGGGTTGCCACTGTGTTGATGTATTTGTCGAATGTTGGAAGGGGTGGAGAAACAGTGTTTCCGAACTCAGAGGTAAAGGATTAGTTGTGTATATAAGTCATTGATATCCTTAGGGGCTAGATTTTTTTTTTCCCTCTGGTGCCAATTACATATTATGTGCCGTGTACAGGGAAAAACATCTCAACCAAAGGATGATAGCTGGACTGATTGTGCTAAAAATGGCTATGCAGGTATTGTATTACTTTTGAGATGGAGTCTGACTACATTATTTTACTGTTTGATGTATATCCTAACCTAAGTAACTCATGGTATTATTCTCCAGATTCAGTTTAGTGGAAGATCGAAAGGCATCAGCATATAGTAGGATGTAGATGTAAGAAAATGGGCAGTAATTTTTAGCACCTTTGGGTTTTTTGTACATTTATTTAGGGGGAATTAGCTCAAGCATATCCTTATATTTTGAGGTGGTCTCCAATATATACTTACATGTCTATTTGCATTCAATGTCCCTGAACATAATCATAATTCTAATGTCTTCCTATTAAAATCCATCCAAATTAATGGATTTTGACATGTGACTTGCACATGACTTGTAAAAGAACGATCTTATTCTTTTACCAAACTATCCTCATGAAATTATGTTGGAAGCCATTTTCTAAGAAAACTTTTTGGACTTGAATTGCTTTCATTTGTTAAACTTTTTTATATTTGTAAATAAATAATTATTTTTTTAATATTTAAAAATAATAATTATTTTATGCCATTGGGGATGTGTTAGTAGGTAAAGGGTAATTTTGTCAATTTTTTTAATAAGTCATGTGCAAGTCACATGTTAACATCTATTAGTTAATGGTTGGATTGTAATTCTCCTAATTCCTCCATCTTAGATGTGAACTGGATTCAATCCCATGTTAACACCAGATGTGAACCTATCTTATAGGATATTTTTTCACTCTCTCTATCTGCTTTTTTTCTTCCTACTCTTTAGTTAAGCATGGAATTTCTCACAAGCGGACTACTTGTTCCTCAATGGTTTTCAGAACTCATTAAGAGTAAAACTGGAAACGACTTGCCTCATCATATGGTTGTTTTTTGTGTGGATTTTTTCGAGTAATTATTCATGTGATCCTGATGATGGTGCACAATTTGTTGGAAAGTTTTATATTGATGCTTTTGCCTCATTATGATCTGATTGCAATATTATTTGTGGAGGTACACAGTAATGTCTTGCCCTGATTTCCTAGGTAGCCTTTTCAAGCAACATTGACCAAAATTTGGGAGATTCTTTGAAAATTTCTCCTAACCTTCTTTTAAAACATGTCGGTATAACATTAACACATCTAATCATACACCAAGCAGACTAATGAGCTACCATTTCTATACCTTCTACAGATTTAATTATGATTTGATTCATCTGCCGTGTAGTGTTGTTCTTTTAGCCATCATTCAATGAAATGCAGCATTTGATTTCCGGATATTGTTACCAGCATTTAATAAAATCCTACATTATATCGTTGCAGTGAAACCCCAGAAGGGTGATGCGTTGATGTTCTTCAGTCTTCATCCTGATGCAACTACTGACCCAAACAGCTTGCATGGGAGTTGTCCAGTTATTGAGGGTGAGAAATGGTCTGCAACCAAGTGGATCCATGTCAGATCCTTTGAGAAATCACTGAAGCAATCAGCAAGTGGGGATTGTGTTGATGAGAATGAGAACTGCCCTCTGTGGGCAAAGGCGGGTGAGTGTGAAAAGAATCCTGTTTATATGGTGGGTTCTGAGGCATCTTATGGTTATTGTAGGAAGAGCTGTAAGGTGTGCTCAGCCTAGGAAGTCTCTTTCTTTTTGGTTCTTTGAAAATGCAAGGGTTCATATTTAAATACTGTAGACAACAGTGGGTCATGCTGTCATTGTACCTGTATGCAGGATCTCTGTTAAAACTTACAGAGCAATCATTAATACCATCACAATTTTTAATTGTCAGACTAGAAGTTTTTATTCAGTTTAGGTCTGTTTTTGTCTTGTGGAAAATATTCTCTTGGAAAATGAGTTCTCATTCAGTCTATGGTTATTGTAGGAAGAGCTGTAAGGTCTGTTCATCCTAGGAAGTCTCTTTTCGGTTCTTGGTTCTTTGAAAATGAAAGGGTTTATACTTATTACGTGGGATCTCTGTTAAACCTTACGGAGAAATCACTACTACTACCACAATTTAAGTGTCAGACTAGAAGTTTTATTCAGTCTAGGGTCTTTTGTTTTGTGGAAAATATATCTTGGAAAATGAGTTATTTTCTATTGTTTGGATGTATGGAGAAAAAATATTATTATCTAAAATAAATTATTTTTTATTTGTGAGTTTTAAATAATGATGATATGGTGAGAAAAGTTATGATGTTAGTGATATAAGTGATAGTGGTTATGGTGACAGTATTTATAATAGTAGTTTTAATGATGTTGGTTATAGTGGTAGTAATGGTAGGATGATAGTGGTTATGGTAATGTTGATAAAGTGATCTTTATAATAATGATTATATTAATAACTAGGTGGTGTTAGTGGTGGTGGTGTTGTGATAAAACACCACAACCAGATAAAGGAGAAATAGAAAAGAAATGATAGAGTAAGATAGAGAATGTGAATTGATGAATAATACTGATTTTTTATTGATGTAAAATAGCAAATACAATGTCTGTTACAATGAAAGTAAGGAACAATGAAAGTAAGGAAAGAAAAGATAATGGTAGCTATTCTAAGAGCTACCTCTCTCCTACTCTCAATAGAGAATATTTCTCATAACAATCTCATCATGCCCGAGCTCTCCTTGCTACCCTCTTTATATAATAGTGGATGCCTATGTGTAACAACCTCAAGCCAAGTCATCCATCCTAAATGGTTTGTCAATAGCAGACTAGTATAACAATCACCCTTCACTTGGTGTTGGTTTAGCCTCTCTTTCCCCTTCCGGTGTAGACCATGTGCACCGGAGGTTTATCAATACTCCCTCCATGGACGGACACCTTGTCCTCAAGGTGGAAGTCCGGAAATTGCTTTAGATCGACTCATAAGGTTTTCATGTTCCCTCAAATTTAGGTAGGTGGTGCCACTTGACAAAGACTTCTAATCCCTCTTTGCCCAACCTAGTATTGATCTCGAACTCGGGCTCCATAACCCACAACATATGGTCATTCAAAATAAAAGGAAGAGGTTGTGTCGTAATAGCATTCCCCACTCGCATGTTTGAGTTGCGAAACGTGAAAAATAGGGTGTATAGGGGTGGAGCTAAGAAGGTCAAGCTTATAAGCAACCTTACCAATTCAATGCAAAACCTATAGTAAGTGGCCAAAGCAGAGAGGAGAAAGCTTCTCGTTCATCTTTCAAGCAAAAGATTGCGACCTATAGGGCTTGAGTTTCAAGTAAACATAAACACCAATCCGAAATTCAATCTCACGATGGTGTTGATCGGCTTTTTGGTTCATAGAATTATGAGCAAGTAATAATTGATTAGGTAACTCGACTATCATGGCATCTCTCGTCACGCAACATAGTTTCCGGACTTGAATCGTGAGTAGGAGTAGTCGCATCATACCTAAGCAAGGGTGGGGGCTCTCTCCCATAGACGAGCTTGAAGAGGTTGGATTTGGTAGAAGTGTGATAGGAGGTATTGAACCTATACTCGCCCATGATAGCCACTTATGTCATATTCCGGGTCGGGAACTTGCAAAACAACGAAAATAAGCTTCCAAGCACCCATTAACCACTTTGCTTTGTGGGTGGTAAGCGGTGCTTCGGTTCAACGAGGTGTGTTGCAAACGAAACGACTCCTTCTAAAAGTGACTAAAAAAAAATCTTGTCTTAATCCGACACAATAGACCGATGAAACCCACGTAGCTTGACCATATGTGACAAGAACTCCTCTCGCCACTTTTTAAGTCGTGTAATTATGCTTCAAAGGGATAAAATGATTGTATTTACTCAATCGATCCACTACCACCAAAATAGAATCAAACCCATGGGATTTGGGCAATCCTTCCACGAAGTCCATCAAAATGTCCTCCCAAATAGTATATGGCATTGGAAAGGGTCGGAGTTATCCAGCTATAGATAATGTCTCATATTTGTTATGCTCGGCATACTTGACAATAGGCAACAAAGTTCTTAATATTGGTTTTCAAGCCCTCCTAATATAACTCACGGGAAACCGACTTGGAGGTCTTTAAAAATCCATCATGACCACCCAAAGGACTATCATGAAACTCGGCTAAGAGGTTAAATTTAAGAAAAGAGGTGGTAGGGATTACCACTCGTCCCTCGTAACGTAGCTGCCCTCGGTGAAAGGTCTATCGAGCTTAGACTTTGGGTCCGTCTTGAGTTTGTTAATCATTCTTTGCAACCGCCGATCTTGGCTAATTTCGAAGCAATTGTGGCCCAATCCAACAACACTAGGATTGAAATGGAGTGAATTTCAGCCATGGAAAGAATTCTAGAAAGTGGCATCTGCAGTTTGGTTTTCTCGACTAGTCCGTTTTGAATCTCAAAGTCATACCCCGGGAGTTTGGTGAGCCATTTTTTGTGCTCTAAGTGCAACCAATCTCTCGCTCAAGCAAGTATCGAAGGCTCTGCCGATCGGCTCGGACAAGGAAATGTCTCCCTAATAAGTAATGGCACCATTTTTGGATAGCAAGCACAATGGCCATTAATTTTTGTTCATAGATAGATTTAAGGCAAGCTTTACCCGTTAAGGCTTGGTTGAAAAATGTGATTGGCCTACCATGTTGAGATAGGATCGCCTCCGTACCTATCCCCAATGCATCCGTTTCAACCAAGAAGCTCTCCCCAAAGTCGGGAAGTGCCAAAATAGGGATTGATTTCATGGTTTGTTTTAGTTGTTGTATCGCCATGGTTGCTTCCTCTCCTTAAACAAAACAATCCTTTTTCAAAAGCCGAGTAAGAGGGGTGCAATCTTGCCATAATTATGAACAAATCTTCGATAGTATCCCGTGAGGCCGAGGAAACCGTAGAGCTCCTTTAAGTTTTTCGAGATGGGCCATTAATCCATCGCGCGGACCTTTTAGGGTCCGCCTTAACTCTTTCCCCCGAAATAATGTGGCCCGTGTACTCTAGTTGATTCCGAGCAAAACAACATTTCTTGAGGTTTACAAATAACCGATACCTTTATAGGATGGTTAGAGCTTATCTCAAGTGTGCTACATGGTCGAGAAAGTAGTACTATAAACTAATATATCATCAAAAAACATCGGCACATGCTTTTGGATCATACCTTTAAAGATTGAATTCATCGTTGCTTGAAACGTGGCTAGTGGCGTTGGTCGATCCAAATGGCATGACCAAGAGCTCATATTATCCCTCATGTGTTTGGAAAGCCGTTTTGTGGATATCTTGTGATTGCATCCGTATTTGATGATATCTTGATCCGAGGTCGAGTTTCGAAAATACCTATGCTACATTAAGCTCATCCAACAGTTCATTAATGTTGGGATAGGAAATCTGTCAAGAATTATAGCTTTGTTCAAAGCTCCGTAGTCGACACAAAATCATCAACTCTCGTCTTTCTTCTTCACTAGGAGCACTAGGCTTGAGAAAAGGCTAGTACTTGGCCTAATGACCCCTGCTTCCAACATCTCCTCCACTAGCCTCTCAATCTCATTTTTCCGGATGTGAGGATAGTGATATGAGCGTACATTGATCGGTTCGGTGCCCTCCTCGAGAATGATGGATTGATCAAATTCCCTAATGGTAGGCAACTCAAGTGGGATGTCAAACACGTCGACAAACTCTCCCAACAAGGAACCGATTTCGGGAGCCTTGTAACTATCCCCCGATTCTTCATGTGTCGAGACATGACATAACTCTATTAGCATCCCTTCTCCTTCTTGCTGAATAGTCTTGACCATTGATTTTAGGGAAACCAAAGCCTTGCTCCAACTTGGGTTACCCCGTAACACCATTCTTTTCTCCCCTAACTCAAGTGTCATAGTTAGGTTTTTCCAATCATCTTGTGTAACCCCCAAAGTTACCGACTATTTTACCCTTAAAATAACATTGGTGCTTTCATTATCAATGACAAATAATCCTCAACAATGGTAAGCTCCTCGTAATCGCAAAACCACACTACTCGTAAATTCCCTTCCCTTTCATATGCTGGCCATTCCCTACTATAAACCCATAGTTCAGGTGTACTCGAGACCGGTATGTTTAACTTTACCACCGGGGATTGAGAGATGAAGTTATGAATCATCCCACAATCAATCAACACCACAACATCGTACCCATTATCTTACCTCGTAGCTTTAATGTGCGTGGTTCGGAGAGTCCCACAACCGAGTTTAAGGATAGCTTCACCTCATTCAGCTCGGCTTCAACTAACTCCTCGGTAGCTAATGTGTCTTCTAATGTGTCATAGCTATCAAGATCTTCACCGACTAGTAACACATAGAGCTCTTTTTTTACAACGATGCCCAATCTACCATCTCTCATCACATCTATAACAAAGTCCTTTCGCTCTCCTAACTCGAGCTTCGACTGCAGTCGACCTCTTAAATCGGGAAGGAGATGAGGTATGGGTGTGGTGTTTCGGTTAGGTGGGTATGGGTTTGTCCAATGATTTGTAGCGACTCGTGTTTTTGGAAGGTGACTCGGGGAGTGTGTTGATGGTAGAGTTAAATGAATTCTAGTGGGCGGTGGTTAATGGGTTTAAAGAGAGTCCATGAAATAGTTTTAGAGTCGAGCTTATAGTGGATCGAAGGGGTCTTTTGGGCTTGATCGTTGGGCCGATGATCCGGTTCTTACTTTCGATTCGAGTCGCCATTTGGATGGATTCCTTCGTGCTCGTGGGATTTAACAAAAAAGCTCGACTTCGATATGTTCATCTAAGCCATCGATGAACACTACCGTCATGGTCTCTTCTTTCAGCCTTCACTATAGAGGCCGCCAACATCTCAAGGGTTGCTCGGTATTTGGCTACGATCCCTATTTGTTTGATGGTAAAGAATCGATGTAACACCGAACCCTCATCTAGCCCCAAAAACCTTTGTAACATCCGTAACCCTTGCGAAAATCTTTAATGATATATATATATATATATATATATATATATATATATATATATATATATATATATATATATATATATATATATATATATATATATATATATATATATATCTGAAATATTTATGCAACTATACATTAAGTACGAGTGCAATTGTAAGTGTCATTTTAATTATTTGGTGATAATGGTTAATTAGTACTTATGTGAGAATTTTAGGATGAAGTTTCAAAAAAATTAATTAATTACCACTCATTATATATTAAGTACTTGGGACATAGTATACAAGGGAAATAGGGGTGTGTATAAAATTTTGAGAATATAGGAATATTTTCCTTGGAAAACATCGAATGGAAGGGAAAAGAATTTTCGAGTTTAGAGGGGAATTTATGAAAATCTATGAAGGAAATATGTTAATTACTTGAAGCTAAGTTAGGATATTTAATTTGTCTAATCCCTTAGTTAGGACACCTAAGCCATTTCATTAAATTCAAGAGAGCCAACTCACCCAACTTGCATACAAACCCGCCACCTTCACCATGACTCACCAAATTACTTTGCACTTTGCCTAATTAATTCAAGACACATATAGACCTATTTAATGCAAGGAAATAGAAGACAAATATATATAGAGCAAGAGAGGGAATGACAAACATTTTGGAAAAACTAGTAGCTGCCAAAGGATAGAAGAAAAACCAAGTGTGAGGAAGAGAAAAACAAAGAAAGAAAGAGAGGAAAGAGAGGAAAGAAAGAGAGAAGGGAAAAGAAAGGAAAAAGGGAAGAAAAGCTAAAGGAACCTAACCTCATCTAAACTAGGCAAGTGGGTTTTTGTTTATGTCATTTATTTGATCCTTCCATGAAAATTGATGTGCTTGCTTAAGCTTCCAATTATATTGTGTTGTATTGATGTGTTGGCCTTGTTATGCTTGGTTGGTATATGATTGTTTGTTATTATGGAATATTTATGTAAGTAAGTTTATTTAATGCTTCATGTCATTCAATGGATGTTATTGTAATTGATTAAGTGGTGAATAGGTGGTGAGGTGTTTGTTGGCTTAGTTGTGTTGGTTAGGTTGTGTGGTTGATCATAACATGATGGGCGAACTTGAAACTTATCTAGGCATGAATAAAATAGAGTAGGAAGGAAAGAAAAATGAAAATTTAAGGTTTTCTGAGCAAACGTGAAGTCGAGAGTTACACGACATCTCACATAAGTGTGTCTTTTCTCGTGTAATTAAGAAATATATTTTTCTTGAAGTCGGAGAGTTACATGACCTTCCACACGAGTGTGTCTTTGACCGTGTAATTAAGAAATGCATTTTTCTTGAAGTAAGAGAGTTACACAACCTCCAACACGGGCGTATCTTTGCCGGTAATGAAGAAATGCATTTTTCTTGAAGTTAGAGAGTTACACGGTATCCTACACGGACGTGTCGTTTCTCATGTAATGAAGAAATGTATTTTCTTTAGTCGACAATTACACGGTCTCTCACACGGACGTGTCCGTTCTAATGTAATTCACTCGGTTACTCGAAATTCACTCATTTTACTTCATACTTACTTGGTTTCCATTCCTTTCACCAAGATAACGTAATAAATGATTAATTAGGCTCAAATAGATAGAAAATGAAGGTAGAAAAGTATACCTTAATATAATTAAAATTCGATGTAAATACTAAGAATTATGCAATTCAAGTGTACAACAATTTAACAACTAAACTTACTAAAGGAAAGAAAAGAGAAGTATTTACACACATAATTAGACCCATCACTCAACCAATACCATATGTTGGTATTTCGTTCTAACGAGAAGAACATGACGATAAGGGGTATGAGTATGCCCAAAACTCGATGTAGACTGGACCTATGAGAGCATGTGAAATTGAACCTCGCATAGGTTGCTTATATTTAATATGATATGTATCAAATCACGTGCATCATGTGCATTATGGGGCAAATGGAGAAACGATAATTGATTGAGAATTGGTTTACATGATTGGGTTTGGTAACCTAACGTAAATAAAAGGGTATTAGCAGTCCAAATTGTGTGCGTGCAATCGTTAAATGATGATTCTCGTTAACGGTAGCTATAACGAGGGATAATTTCGTTGTAACAAAAGGCGATCCGAGGATCATCCGGATTAAAAATAAGATGTGTGCTTGCACTCGTTAGATGATGATTTTTGTTAACGAGTGGCTATAATGAGGAATAATTTCGTTGTAGCAGAAGGTGATCCGAGGATCATCCGGATTAAAATAGAGTAGACTTGCTAATACCTGTGGTACCCGGAATTAAAATTGATAAGTATTATGGAAATTTAATTACCGTGGTGCGGGTGATCTAGGTATCGATGGTGAGAGCCCTACAAAAGCTAAAACTCGGAGATAGTTCTTACGAGCCACAAGAGCATGCTATCGGTGCTATTAATTCGGTCGATGCTATAAGAAAGAATTCAAATGGGGCAGCGAACGGAAAAAAAGTCAAGGAGTTAAAGAAAAGTATAGAGGTTAAAAAAGAGTCCAATTTTGTGATGGATGATAAAGGAATAATTAGATTCAAGGGAAGGTTATGTGTCCCTACGATCGAGGATGTAAAAGATGAGATACCGAAGGAGCACACACAACACCATATTCGATACACCCGGGAGGTACGAAAATGTATCGGGACTTGCGATAGTGTTATTGGTGGTTGGGAATTAAGAAGGATATAGCTGACTTTGTGATGAGGTGTCAAATTTGTCAACAGGTGAAGGTAGAGCACCAAAGACCCTCGGGAATGTTAAAACCATTGGCGATTCCCGAGTGAAAATGAGAATATATAATAATGGATTTTATCATAGGATTGCCAAGATCGAAAAAAGGATTGGATGCCATTTGAGTTATCATAGATAGGTCGACCAAATTAGCACACTTTCTTTCGGTTAAAACACCAACAGCTTTAAACCAATATGCCCGAGTTATACTTGGATGAAATTGTAAGACTATATGGAATTCCAATTTTGATCGTGTCAAATTGAGATCCCGCATTCACCTTCGTATTTTGGAAAAGTCCGCATAAAGTCATGAGTATCAAGCTAAATTTCAGTATAGGTTATCATCCACAAACCGATGGACGATCCGAATGTGTAATTCGGATTCTCGAAGATATGCTTTGAGCATGCGTTCGAGTTGGTCCAAAAAATGAGAGAGATATGTACGCTTAGCTGAATTTGCATATAACAATAGCTATTAAGCTTCAATTGGGATAGCTCCCTATGAAGCTTTATATGGATGACGATGTAGATCTCCCGTGCATTGGGATGAAATAGGAGAAAGAAAGTTGCTAGTGGCTAGAAGTCGTGCAAGAAACGGTCGAAGTGGTAGACCGCATTCGTCAATGGATGAAAGCAACTCAAAGCAGATAAAAGAGTTATGCCAATAAAAGGAGGAAAGATCTAGAATTCATGATTGGTGATTACGTATTTCTAAGAGTCTTACCGATGAAGGGCATACTACGATTTAGGAAAAAGGAAAAGTTAAGCCCGCGATACATAGGACCATTCGAGATACCGGATCGAGTAGGAGATAAAGCATATCGCCTCGTTGCTACCACCTTCCTTAGTAGGAGTACACAATGTATTTCATGTGTCTATGTTAAGAAAGTGTGTAGGAGAGCCAAGACAATTTCTAGAGACGGAGCCACCAAACCTCACCTCGGATTTAACATACGAAGAAAGATCAATCTAAATTCTTGATAGACAGATCAAGCAGCTAAGAAATAAGAAGATTAATCTTGTTAAAGTTTTATGGGAAAACCATGATCTCGAAGAAATGACTCGGGAGCGGGAGGAAGAAATGAAAGATAAATACCCCGAATTATTCGAATAGGTCAATTTCGAGGACGAAATTCTTTTAAGGGGGAGAGAAATGTAACCCTCGTGAAAATCTTTAATGAGACATATATATATATGCTAGAATATTCATGCAAATATACATTAAGTACGAGTGCAATTGTAAGTATCATTTTAACTATTTAGTGATAATGGTTAATTAGTACTTATGTGAGAATTTTGGCATGAAGTTTCAAAAAAATTAATTAATTACCACTCATTATATATTAAGTACTTGGGACATAGTATACAAGGAAAATAGAGGTGTGTATAAAATTTTGGGAATATAGGAATACTTTCCTTGGAAAACATCGAATGGAAGGGAAGGGAATTTTCGAGTTTAGAGGAGGAATTTATGAAAATCTATGAAGGAAATATGTTAATTACTTGAAGCTAAGTTAATTAGGATATTTAATTAGTCTAATCCCTTAGTTAGGACACCTAAGCCATTTCATTAAATGCAAGAGAGCCAACTCACCCAACTTGCACACAAACCCGCCACTTTCACCATGACTCACTAAATTACTTTACACTTTGCCTAATTAATTCAAGACATAGATAGACCTATTTAATGCAAGGAAATGGAAGACACATATATATAGAGAAAGAGAGGGAATGGAAAATATTTTGAAAAAACTAGTAGCGACCAAAGGATAGAAGAAAAACCAAGTGTGAGGAAGAGAAAAATGACAAAGAAAGAGAGAAAAGAGAGGAAAGAAAGAGAGAAGGGAAAAGAAAGGAAAAAGGGAGGAAAAGCTAAAGGAACCTAACCTCATCCAAACTAGGTAAGTGGGTTTTTGTTTATGTCATTTATTTGATTCTTCTATGAAAATTGATGTACTTGCTTAAGCTTCCAATTATATTGTGTTGTATTGATGTGTTGGCCTTGTT